TTGATGAGAACCCCTATAAAATGCGGAGGGAACCCTATATGTGGAACCAAAAAAAAAAATTATTACAGAGAAAATCATTGCAAACTAAAAGATTTGGGTAGATGAGAGAATCCACCTGTATTATTATTATTGGGATACAGACAAATTGAGACAAACAATTTGAGACTGGACAAATGGTGACAGAAAATTTGAGACAGGGACAATTAAAGACAGGGGCTATTCATGACAATGAAAATTTGAGACAGGGACAATTTGAGGCAGGGACAATTTGAGTTAGGGACAATTTGAGGCAGGGACAATTTGAGACAGGAACAATTTGAGACAGGAACAATTTGAGGCAGGGACAATTTGAGGCAGGGACAATTGGAGACAGGGACAATTTGAGACAGGAACAATTTGAGGCAGGGACAATTTGAGCCAGGGACAATTTGAGACAGGGGCAATTTGAGGCAGGGACAATTTGAGACAAAAACACTTGCAATGAGGAGAGAAATCTGCTTTGGTTGGTTCAAAGATTTGAGTTTTTCCTTGATAAGGAAAACTCTTTTGACAGTGATTATGGATAAAAAGGAGAAACACCCTGGGATCACGGACTTTTCACAAAGCAGTGCAATTTTGGGTCATTTTCAAGCATGAGATAATTCAGAGAAACACAGTGAAGTCATTTTGTCTCAAAATGTCTCAAATTCTCTAAATGTGATTGTCTCAATTTTTCCATGTCTGAAATTGTCCCTGTCTCCAAAAGTATCTGTCTCAAATTGTCCATCTCAATTTGTCTTAGATTCATTATTATTATTATTATTTTATTCTTACTGTATCAGAGTCAAATATCTTCAGGTCAGATGACTCAGAGGCATACTCATAAAGAAATTGAGTTTGGGAAAGAAATTACAGGAAAGGTGGAAATTCTGATTTTGATTGTGGGTTCTTGAACAGCAGGATACATAATTTGACAGAACTGATGCTGAATTTGGAGGCAGGGGTACAAGTGCTCAATCAGTCACTGTCATTTATTTTTGAAAATTATCAAGCTATATTTTTATTGATAACTCTTCTCCTTAGATCTTCCTGTATCATTAGAGTATCACTAACCCAGAGGCCTCTCAAAATTGAAATTATTGAGAGGGTTGAGTGGGGAAAGTCTATATAACCTTGTTCTTGAGAGAATACAGACAGGGTCTCAAAAAAAAAATGTTGACATGAGGATTATTCTTGACTTGGCGAGATCAAAGTAAGATTTTATTACATTGTAAAAATTCGGTTCATACAAGGCACCACAGTGACGAACAATGTGAAACAATGCGAAAATCCCGCTGATATTAAAAGCGAAATGAAAATATGAGAGGCCCCAACAAAAATATCTGCAGCTTTGAAAGGATTTTTATTTTCAACCGGTTTTCATGCAGTACTTTGAAGCATGACCGAGAGATGCACTTTCAACTCTCTCTCTCGCTTTGAAAAATAATTAAATGAAATCAGGTCACCTTCACGGTCGAGCCGTCGGAAGGTCAGCAGCAGCCGAACGAGAAGCCAGCAGCAGGTGAAACCCCTGCTGCTGATGACGAAGCATCAGCAGAAACCATTGACGAGGAGGAGGACGAGCCGAGACCCGAAACCCCGTCTGTGTCAGAACTCCAAGACCATCATCATCAGCAGCAGCAGGACGATAAAAAGTCGTCGTCGTCGTCGTCTTCGCACCAAGAAATCGAGTCCGATGCCGTTGAAACGCCTGCAGCTGGAGCAGCAGACAGCAACTTCAAGTTGGTGCTTCGCAAGAAGCCCACTGAGGCGAACGTGTTGCGGATGCACACTGCAGTCAGGTTGAACGAGGTCATTCGGAGCAAGAGCAAGGACTCCAAGCTGGTGGTCATCAACTTGCCCAGTCCCCCGAAATCCGCCAAGGGAGACTCTGATGCCAACTACATGGAGTTTCTAGAAGTGCTGACTGAGGGTCTGCACAAGGTCCTGCTGGTCAGAGGCGGAGGCAGAGAGGTCATCACTATCTATTCCTGAACAAGGACACACAAAAACGAAAACTGCATTCAATCAACCAATCAATCAATCAATCACTCGTTTTCCCTTTTTTTGTTTTTTGTTTTTGTTTTCGTGCAATGGAGGAAACGAAAAGAAATTCCGATGACGTATATATTATTATAATATAGATGCTGGTATATTTTTCTGGTGCCTATTTGAATTTTGCATGAGGAAAAAGAAGAAAAAAAAATACAGGATGGATCCTCTCTCTTTTGTTGCTTGTTGAGAAGCGGATTCACATTGAGGACGATGAAGAAAACGAGCAAATAAAATATAGAAAAAAAAAACAGTCTCCTGAAATTGTTATTCATTCGTTTCTGAAAAATGCGCGCTTATTTTATCCCCGCGTTTCCCATCAGGAAATGGTTGCTTGGAGAAATTTAAATTTTACTCTAGTGGAAAATTCTAGTGGAAAGATCAAAAACTGGTTGTGGGGGCCTTTGTTGTGATGGATCGTCTGCCTGAGTGAGATTCTTGCCTCCTGTTGTTGTTGTTGTTGTTTTTTTGGAAAGTGAATATTCGCAAAGAAAATGGCGCCACAAAGCCGACAGAGGAGTGCTGCGCAGAATATCGGTGTCCTCATGCTGCTTTATCACTTGAAGCAGTTTGGGTTCAATAGGATCCCTCCAGTCACCTTGATGACCATTGTTGGCATGGTGAGTTGGTATTTTGCTTATTCACATCCATGAAGATCATTGCAAAATTTACATCCGGTCTTTTAAATCCATTTGTATCTTGTTGAAAATGAAACATGGTCTGGAAATTGAAAAAAGAAAATATAACTGCACTAACTCGCGAAGGAAGATCCTTGCAAGTCTAAAATGTGATCCGACGAAAAATGAATAGCGTCATACTTCTGCACAAATTATAATGGGATGCTCATGGAATATTCTCCTAATAATAATAATAATATTGTTTTTATTGCTCAGGGCTGTATTCAAGGTATTGCAGTGAACAAAATAAGTATATAATTCAGTGATCTGTGATCTGTATGCATGTATTTTGCGGTAAATTATTTTCAGGTGCTCGTCTTTTAAAAATAAAGTCCTAAATAATTTTTCTTTCAACCCTGCCTCAAGGAATTATTTTTAAACTTTACCAAAGCATCACAGAAGTTCATTTGAAACCTACGCTTCTAAAGCTCTCAACTTTTTGAACGCTTCCTGAAAACCAAAAATAATTATAGTAGATCAAAAAATTAATCTAAAAAACCACGNCTAGTCAGGAAGTGAGCAAAATTTGAGTTGCAAAATTTGATCCGGACAAACAAACGGACAAGAAAGCGAGTTAATAAAAACGTGTTGAAAATATCTTTTATTGAATTCGTTCAATTTTAAAGTTGTCAGTACTTCGTTTTGAATTACTGTCAGAAAGATCGAGGGTTATCCTGGCTGGACGAGGCCTCTGACATAATATTTCTAAGTTATAATATAGCCCATCGTCATGATATTGTCACATGATATAATTATTGTTGTTGTTGTTGTTGCTGCTGCTGATGATGATGGCAGTCGATGATCTTCACTGGGATGCTGCAAGTGTCGTGGACCAAGGAAGAGGCGTGTGTGAGCTCCAACAAGGTGCTGAAGGCCCGCGAGTTCCGTCGCGTCTTCCTGTCGGCCATCGAGCACGGCGACGACATGCACCTGTTTTACAACATGATCTCGTACCTGGTCAAGGGCGTGAGTCTCGAGCGGAAACTGGGCTCCGTCTACTTTGCCTACCTCATCTTCGTCTTCTGCAACGCCTGCAGCCTGGTCTACATCCTGCTGGCCAACGGCATGGCCCAGCTCTTCAACGAGCCCTTCTTCTTGGACCAGTGCGCCATCGGGTTCTCTGGTGAGCTATATACTGTACATCTAGCTCTTTTTCATTATTATTATTATTATTATTCTGCGTCTTCGTCTTGGTTCATTTCTATCTATCTTTTTTTTTTTTTTTTGGGTGTTGTTGGGGAAACTTTTGTGCAACACCAAGTATACAGTGCGAACGAAGCTGGGGTTTTACTTCTCGCATGAATATTCATTTGCTGTATTTTTGAAAGGCGTGTGCTGCTCGATGAGATGTTAAGCAGAAGGACAGCCGATGAACTTCGCGCGATATGAGCTGCATAGGGCAGGTTTTTATTAATTGCAATGAAATCTGGTTGAAATGAAACTTTCCAGACCTGAATGCACACACTGTATATACTTTGTTATACTGTATAAAGATGAATTCGTTATGAAGGTATTCAAATAACTTTATGGCTAATGGGCAGGGGACCTGATGAACGATAATTCGATGAAAGCACGATGAGATCTATAGCTGCATATTATGCGATTTGCATCCCATAAATTGATCACATATAATTGGTGACTCTCATGTAAGTCAAAACCAGTCATTCTGTTTATCGATTCGTGAAAATCCACAAAGAAGTGTGAAAATTTGGTGATAATAAACCAAGAACTCATCGCGAAGTTTTAAATATTTATACTGTATATAGTATTTTTTTTTTTACAAAAGGAAAATATTTGGCATTGCGAAAAGTTTGTTGGTAAGAAGAGTGAAAGTTAACAAATCAGGGTTAATCCCTCATACTTTTGTTTTGTTCTTTGTATTTTCTTGGCGATAAAAAAAGGTACTTTCTTTCTTCTATAATGATACAACGAGGTTGAGGAATTTAGCAAGTACCGGATTTCCTAGTACTGCATAGTACTGTATACTGTATTTTCTCCACCAAATCTCCACCAAATCTGCAATGTGAAGCTTACCTTCCAGTCTATTAGATTGATTGTGTTCCTCTTCTCTTTTAAATACTGTATATATATACTGTATTTATACAAAAAGAAACTACAGTGCAAGAAAACGAGAGAAAAGAAACTACAAGCAAACGAATACTGGGTGGCAATGTTATTTCCAGCGGAACAAACAAACCAACACACACACCCTGTCAATGGAAGACCACAGGGGGTTCATTTGTTTCGCATGTAGAAAGGAAATCTTTTGTAGCAGCCAGGAAATAGGTTTTCTTTCTGTCCTGTCAACGCAGACGCATGTATGTGCTGGGACTCTCGCGAATTTCATTCCACGAACCCATGGAAAAAAAAAGGTACTGCTAAAGTTTGAGTATATAGGAAAAAAGTGGCAGTAAATTCTCGGTACCTGCGTTATTGATGCTACTGCCGGGCGAAAAATTACTCAAGTTTCGCCCCGCTCTCGTCTTCTGGAAAGAAGACTTCTCTTGAGGAATAGTATACCATAAATACTCATGTGCGAGGGTTTGCGGGATGGAAAAGTGCTGAAGTCGCAAGAAATGGTCTTTCCATACTTTTCTTTCCTGTGGGAGAGGTAGAAGAAAGAAGAAGAAGAAGAAGATGAAAAAAAAATAAGAAGAGAAGAATCTAGAGAAAATGTTGTATGTGATGATGAGGGGAACTCGGCAGGAAGAAGTCTCATCCATCAAAATGCATCATTTAATTTGCACGCCCCCCCCCCTTCTTTTTTATCTTGCCTACTTTTTGAGTGTGGAAGGTGAGAAGAAACGGTCAACGTGTGATGAGCTGATGGACATTTTTGTCTGACCTCTCATTCATCTTATTGAAATTTCTGGAAATATTTTAGACTCTGTTTCGCTTTTTGTCATTCAATAAATGCAAGGGATTTCTTTCAAATTTCTGTGAAGAAATTCTCGCATGGTTTCGCGTCAGTCGACAGAAGAAATTCATTGACGCATTTTTTTTCTCGGGTAACGCCAATTTTATTTGCGGAAAATTTTTGCAAAATTCGAGTTGTTTCTGTGTTTTTTGTTGTTGAGATGAACGTTTTATACAAAAATATGGCTCGTTAATGTTTTCGTATAACAGGTCGATTTTCTCATCGATTTTTGATGACAATTCTGACGCATGATAGACCCATTTTTTTATTTGCCAATTAAATGTCTCGTATGTTGAAGAAAAGTTTAATTTTTGCTGCTGGAGGGACTTTGGAAATGAACTTTGTGGCTTCAGATATGTAGTGTATGGTTAGATATGACAGCGTGGGGGTTTTGAAAAATGGTTTTGGACTCTTTGCGAATTGATATGTGATGATGTGCGCGAAAGAGTGATGTTGAGAGAGGGAGAGAGAGAGAGAAAGAGAAATGAAGGAAGGAAGGAAGGAAGCCGGGAATTTCGAGGCCGAAGTGGGATCCCTGATAAACGGATTTGATTTCCTGTGGGATCCCCCTTCTTCTCGTCTGAGCGGATAACTGAGTACAATATATATATGTCTCAGCTCTTTCCTTGGGCCAATTCTCGTTTAGTTTTCTTCTTTTTTTAAAATCTGAATATTCTTGCTGGTCTTGTTTATATGGATAGATACTGTACCTTTTTTGTTGTTGCCATGATTCACTTGCACTTATTTTGACAGGGCTGTTTGTTACTGAAACTGTAACATTTCTCTGCTGCCTCGGATAGAACGGTAAAGAATTTCAACCATTTTCACGCAATGAAATAAGTCTGTATACACGTTCTTTTTCATTTTATTTCGCATTTCAAGGTTTTTTGAACTTTAATTTGTTGAGCAATTCAAAATATGGAGTTGCCCAAAATATTGGTGAAAGTAATTTCGGTTCGTTTGACCCACGAAAACGTTAATATTGAAAGAATCAATTTTCCTAAAATCAAAAAAATTAATAATGATGGATGCCCAAAGAGAATCTCAATATCGTTTATATTGTAGATTTCACTTGAAAACTTTTGTTTTTTCGGAAATTTTTGGTTAGTGCTTATGCAAAAAAACAAGACATATATGCATATAAGGACAACATGTTTCTCTATACTGTTTCAATTTGATGACTGAGATGATTCGAATCAATTTTTCGACATTTTTTCAGGTTCCATGAAAAGTATTGTTGAACAATATATCAATAAAGAATTTATTTTTTCGTCCTCTACTTAATTCCAATTTGAATTTGAAAGAATAAAATGATCTCTCTCTCTTTCTCTTTTTGATTACGAAATATTAAAAGGAATGTTCTCTTTAGAGTGACTCCCAATAAGATAGAAAATACGTTTACGTGGTGGAAAATGTTTCCCTCGGGTCCCGAGGCTGTCGTCTTTTGACGTCACCGTTTTCGTCCCTCGGCCTTTTCCTTTCCTCTTGAGGTCATCCTTTCTCTTTTGTCTGGGTATATGACCTCGTCTTTCTTTCTTTCTTTCTTTTTGTCGTCACTGGAGTATTGTAATTTTTTTGATGCATTCAGGGATGATTTCCTGGCCTTATTCATTACTGCATCGCGCTCGCCTGGAACTTTGCAGGGCGCGGGAATTCCTCCTTTTCTTTCGCTTTTTTTTTTAATCTTTTTATTCTAGGGGGTTTTAGTGGAGATCCCTCGGGGCGTTGCATTAGTCTGATGAAGGAAGTTCATTATGAAGGGATTAGGGCGGGGGAATGAATACACACCCCTTTTCCCCTTTTGTTTGGCTTAATCAGGGCTAAATTGAAATGCACTTTCCTCTTTGGAGAAATGAAGGAAGTGAGTGAGTGAGTGAGTGAGTGAGTTTACTCATGTGATGTGGTGGTGGTGGTGGTTGAGGAGGATCCTCTTGATTCTTGATTGGATCCCCCGAGGAGTGATTATGCCTTGTTTTTTGACGAATCTGTTGTATCTTTTTTGTTGTTGTTGTTGGAGAGTGTTGCTGGTATTTTACATCACAGAAAGTACAACTACAGTACCCTAAAGGACAGGAGTCAAATGATGTATGGATCGAATAATCTTTATTCACAATACTTTGACAGCAGCACACACCATTGGATAATGTATCATACAACACAGAGCATAATACAGTGCAAGACTAGACTGGACAGTAATAATCCTGAAGTATTCTAATGCTGGGAATGCTTTACTTTACTCAAGATACACTTCCTTATTCTCAAGTCAAGCTTCTGATCCAGACAGACCCTGGAAAGCAAATGATACAGATTTATTCTGAACTGGGACACGCAAGTAACATCATGCAGGTTTGTACATGCTTGTGCTGGGGTCACACTTGACAGACACACATTGATTAACACATCCTCAGATGTATAGATGAGCTATAATTATCCTGTCCAGGAATAACCAGATGTGATCAGGAAGGGGAAATAGTAATTAGGGATTTGAATGTAGGAACATTGCTTGAACCTATTGTCAAGGCTGAAAAGCAGAGACTAAAGCTTGTTGATCAATCCATCAATTATCTCTGCAGGTCTGGACAGGTTTCTAAACCAGGGGTGAAAACTGGGTCAGGTACTTTCCAGTGGAGGAATGAGGGGAAGAGGATGAATAAATCAGATTTCTCTGGATTCATTTAATATTTTAACACACTTGTCATTCACTCTAGAAAAGGGTACGCTTTTTTCATGAGCCTTCTTTCTAGACAAGCTTTTCCTCTTCTAGGAAAATGAAGAATTAATGAATGGAATTGGAAGACAGTTGATTTTGCTATTGATTTGAGAGAGTGAACAAAGTTTGCTCTCTTAAGGGTGAGGCAAAACAGGGTTTACCCTTTCTAGGATAACCAGTCAGATTTGTATGACTATTGCATGGATATAGAGCACCTCTCAGTTCTCTCAATCCTTGAATGGTGTGTTATACTTCATTGTGCTAAATGCTCAGCTTCACTCAGCATTATGTTGCTACACAGAATACCTTTCTAAAAGATAATAGAGCAGTTTGACTTGCGAAGTCACGCAGGCTTCTATTATTGGACTCTTCTGTGAAACCTCTGCTGTTTTAAAAGATAAAAAAGCATTTTATCAAAAAACCTCTCGAAGTTTTTTTTTCTGCTTATTTGAAAGCATGCGGAAAGCAATTTAAACCTTTGAGACCCATTAAAAGGACAGATCAAGGCTCAATAAAAAAATAAATTGGCTTGTTGGTGATTGAAGATTCAGGGATCTGTATTTGTCCATATCAGTTGAGAAAACAAATTGCTCAGTGATTGATTGGGAAAGGTGCTGATGGTGTTCTTTCATCTATCTCTTCTGACGATGTGAATTGTGTATCTTTCTTCTTGCCCCCCTCCCCCCCCCAACTTCTTTCCATACCTTTTCTGGAAAGCAAGCTGGAAAGACGGTGGAATTTGTTGCCAGTGTGTGTGTCATCCATCAAGTCCAGTTTGACGTGGCGTTTCCTGCCCTGCTTCTTGTCCTCTTCACTTGTGCTGTTGCTCTTTTCTCCGCCAAGAAAAGAAAAGAAAAAATATATTCCCCTGCTGACTATGGAGAGAGAGAGAAAGCGAAAAAACACTCATCTGCTTTTATTTTTCTTATTGATTCTCTCTTTTTTCCATGCAGAGTATTTTATTTTTTCTTGGTGTTATGCCCAGCAGTTATCATGGTGCTGGTATACGTGGAATTTCTGGGAATCCTTGCCGGGTTTGGGGCGGGGAACGTCTTCCTTTGTTCTCTCTACTCTTGAAAGTAAAACTGGAAGAAGGAGATCAAAGGCAAGATAATTTATGAATGGTTGAAGGGATGAAGGGATCACGTGCTGAAAAGAACCTCCGGTCTTTTCGAGTGAGAAAATGAGGGGTTAAAGAATTTCAGGGGTGAAAAAAACAAAATCAGCTGGGGGCTGATTCACAAGTTCCGCTATGTAGTCTGACGCACTCCCAAAAATATTTGATTTTTAGGAAAAAATATATATGTTATTGGAACTCGATTTTTAATTTTTTTTATTGGCTGATTTGGATGTGGAACTGAAATGGAACTGAAAAATGCATTTATTCAGAAGAAAAAAAAAACCTGTGTTCAGGAAAAGGGTCGAAATCAGCCTATTCTTCTGGAAAAGATGGATTTCGTGATGGAAAAGGGAGATTTTATTTATGATTTGAGGCGTTATTGACAAAAGCTTATGAAATAACCTTCGTAATGTGGGGGATTTTCTTTTCCTTTCGTATTCGTGTGTGTGTATATACGGTATATACACGTTTTTTTCTCACGTTGTGTTTTCTCAAGAAAAAGCGCTTTAGGAAATCTGGCCCGGGATTCCTGAGGATTTTCTCGGGGATTTCAAGGGTTCTGTCGTGTCGCACGTTTTTCCTTTATTTATTTATTTTTTAGTACCGTAGCAGGTTTCGGTCGAATTTCTTTTTTTCTTTTCCCGCTTTTTCTCGGGGTCTTTGGAGAATAGTTTGTCGTGGATCCTTCCGGGTTCGCAATGATTGCGTGGAAAAGCCTTCGTTCCCACTTTCAAAGTGAGGTTTGTTTTCATTTCTTCCTTCCTTCCTTCCTTCCGGCCCTTGCTGGTTGATGAAGCTTTGGGCCAGCAGATGATGAACACAGTGGCAGCAGGGCCATGGGTTCGAATCGGGTAACGACGGCTTTATTACTCTCTCGTGGCTTTTATGGTTCGGAAAAGGTCCGTATGCAGTATATAAGAGCATATATATATATATATATATGTGGTGTTCATACTTTTGGAAACGTTCATTTTATTTTATTTTTGTGTGCTTGAGGCGATGATTATTTCAGAAATAGAAAGTGAAAAAATATTGATGCTGGTTAGAAATGATGGCATTAGCTTGAAATTGTAAAAAAAATTAAATGGACCTTCTGAGCGTCCTTTTTAAAATATCCTTTAATGAATTTATATGCAGGAAAGAAACTCGTTACAACAAACTCGCGGGGACTTCTGAAAAAGTTTGTAATTACGAATAATTTGTTTTGACAAGATTTTTGAAATTGTAGAAATTGCAACATAGTTTTAAATTTAGTCTTTATACATTTATATCTTCCTTTTGTGGCCTTTTCAGATGTTTTTCTATTTTTGAAAAAAAAAAAACTATGATCCTTCCAAGAGAGGATCAGCACACACCCAGCCTAATTTTTTCTTAAAAGAGGAAAAAGTTTTTAAAGAAAGGAAGTTCAGGTGAATTTTACCTTCCATTAATTTCCCCAGAACCAGGCACATTTTGTGTGGGGCACAGAGAACATGTCCCACGGAATAAGAAGAATACGCGCGATAAGAAACAACTAAATCAAGAATGCATGGAATGCAGACTTTATGCGGTAACGGGGAATTCCGTTGGAAGTCCCCGCTGCCGTGAAATTGCGCAATATAGATTTTTCCGTTTTCTCTCCGCGTAACGATTTGATTCATACAGTTTGTAGATCTCGAAGCGTTCGGTTGCATTGAGAGTTGAGAATTGTGTTTGTGTTATTTTGTCTTTACTGATTGGCATTTTCCCGTCCTTGATCATTATTGTGTTCTTAACTTTTTCAATCGAAATACAATTTTTCCTATCCTTTGAAGATTCTACCGAGAATCTTCACGCCGTGTTCCCCGGCGGATTGTGAATCCTATTTATTTATTCAACTTCTAGTTATTCGAATTCTTTGTGAGCACTTGACTCTACATTTTGAATGGGAAAATTTTAGACTGTGTCTGTCCTCAATCGAGATTTCTCATGAGGAAAATCACGTGTTTCTCAATAAAAGTTTGTTGTACTGTACTGGAATTGGAGAGTTTGTTCTAACAAGATGTAAAAAAAAATCCACCCATAGCTACAGGATTTCTGCTGGGATTGGGGAAAAGAGTTTTTTGCACTGAAAAATTTGGTGTGACGGTATTTCTCATTTTGATGCGATTTCACTGTGGTACAGTATACTTTTTTTTTTTGCTCGGCAAGGAAAGAATCGTATAGTTTGCAGCTTTCTGCAAATGCGAATTCCCAAGAGAGATGGAGAGTTGATGGCGTGCATTTCTAGTCTCTGCTGTGTCTAGGGTGGCGAGAAAGCTTTCTAGAGCCTTCAAAACGACCAGAGGTATATATTTTGCGGATAGTCGTCTCTGTCTCCCACTCAACTTATTCCCTTTCCAGAATATAAGCAAGAAGGTTTCATCTTTAGTGTTTTCTTCCTCTTCACTCTTCCGTGTTTTTTCCTTTTTTTTCTTTTCATCTATACAGTATATACTGTGTATTTGGACTATAGCCCATGGCTCGCATGTCTTGGAAGGAAAAAAAGGAATGATGCGGGCTGACGTTTATTCCCCGTTTTTCGGGCCATTTTTGCGGCAAAAGGGAAGTGAGAACTTTCCCCCCCTGCCCCATCTTCTTTTTCCTTGTTTATTTTTATTCTTTTGGCTTCTTCTTCTTCTTCTTCTTTTTGTTGCTGTTGCTGATGTGCACGCGAAACATTCCTGCGGCCAGTTCCTGCATGTGTTTCCTGGACACGCCATCTTCTTGGTCTATATACTTATTTTTTTGTGGCTTTCTATAGTTCCAGCACGTGCGTGTAAATGCACTTTTTTGGGTTTTAAATTTTCCCTTATGCGCGATTTCGAATAAGGAAAAGTGACAGGTCAGTGTTTTTTTTTTGTGTCACGTTTGTAAAAAAAAAGTAAGAAGAAAAAAGAGGCATGGCTGACTTCAAAGACAGCTGGTAATTTATTCCCGCCGGGAATTTAAA